ATGCCAATTTTCAACAGTCTTACCACCTTGTTGGCTACATTTTTATTTTGTAATCACGAAGACTGTAAAACCCATTTGCATAAATGATAGTAAAAATAGATCTTGAGTAGACAAGGTTTAATGCATGAAAGATCAAGGGAGTGTTTAGGTTGCAAGAAAATTTCCGATTTTGAAATAGTGATAGATAAAAGTGTAATGTCTAATGGTGGTCTAAGGTAAAATCCAAACTACAGAATTATGTAATCAAATATAAAATTATGTTTTTTGTAATAAGATTATTTTAATAATAAATAATAAGTTAATGTATAAAAAATTGGCAATTCTTCCTCTGGCTCGACCTTACTGTTTAAATTTTTCCTTGTGGCAAAGAGATGGTTTTCATTATGTTAATATGACATTGTAAGCATTTTTCTTTTTTTCTTTCCTTTTTTTTACAGACTCTGATGAAGAAGAAGCCTTGCATGCTTCATGATACTGCAGTTGAAGAGGTCATTGATCCTATTTTAAGAGAAAGCAGATCTGAAGCAATGATGGATTTATTGATTACTTGAGGAATACAAAAAGCACGGAGAAGAAACCTGCTAAAGTTATTTTTGGGGACTGACTGAGTCCTTAAAATTCCATTTAAGTGGCAATCAAGAAAAATGTGATCATATTGACCTCCATTTCATTTTGTAATACAGTGTAATGTGATTGTCGTGAATTTGTGTGCATGGATTTTTGATTGAATGCGGTGTTGTATGTTACTGTTGTTTGTTTTTTGTTTTTGTGTGGGTAAGTAGGTTAGAAATGGGTGTTTGTATTTTTTGGAAAAATTTAACCAAGATAGAACTGCTCATGTATATTGAAAATAAACTGTTTTTAATTAAGTAATATGTGATCTTCATTTTCTATGCTGAAATGTCAAAGTTGGGGAAAATGTGATTTGTTTTAAAAAGAAATGCAATCTGAAAAATGATGGAATATCACAATCTTTATCAATTCTTCCTGCAAAACTTTGGTAGAGTGCATTTTTTGTAAATATGTGATTCATATATGAACCACAAATATGATTTTAAATTTTTTTTAGAGAGTAATTAAAATCTTAAAAATATGTTCTAAATCTTATCTGAATGAATTGTCAAGTTATTAGATAAGTCATAAAAGTTCGTAGATTTTTTAAATTTTCAAAGAATTTATCGCAAAATGTTTTTTTAAGATTTAAAGGATATTGGTTTGCAATTTTGGTTGTCACAGGTGGATTTGGAATTGGTTTCTAGGTGGCAAAAAGTTGGAACCAGTGAGCACGAAAATATAACACAAAGTTAAAAACTACAATTTCTTTTTCCAATATTGGCTGCTAAAAGTTGTTTTTATAATGAAGCTTAATTTTCTTTTGTCATTTGTTTTTCAGTGTTTTTTATGGAAACCATTACTTGTATGTGATCTAACAATCATTTCCAGAATGGAGCATTTTACATAGTAGGGTTCATTCCAACAGTGAAATGCAAACGAAACTGAAAAACCAGTGGGCAGCTCATGCTTAGGTTACACAACAGATAATAGAGAGATCTTATAGTATCTTACGATTATACATTTTTCTTTTAATGACATTCAAATATTGAAGATATTGCTGCCATATTGATGTATATGAACTCAAAGATCTTCCCACTGTCTATGCTCTCCCGGCAAGCTGGGGTAAACCTCTCCCCATGGTAATTTAAACAAGTTCTTAGGCTCTATTATTGGGTTTAAACTTCACATTGACTGCTTGGTCGCTTCACTTAACAATGGGGGGGAAAAAAAAACATCATGAGCCTTTGGTGGCACAACCAAATGAGTGGGTGGGGCGGCGAGTGCTGTGGCGGCGGGCAGAGGGATTCAGAGTAAACACTTCTCTCAACAATGGTATTTTATGAATTTTGGCTTGTTATTGAAAGTAAGCAAGTGCAGTCCATTTCTGAAGGCATTTAATGATTATTTATGACGTTTAGGGAATTTCCATTTTAGATTTACACATAAGGTGGGAGAGTCACTTCAGACAGCAGGGCGCACGCGCCTGAATTTATTTAAGGTCGCCAAGCGCAATGGCTTACCGGGTTGGCAATCTCATAGGTGAGCACCCTGGGTCGAAGGATTGCATTTTGGCTAACTAACTACCAAGTAATTACACAGGCTATATTTCTTTGTGGTTGCCACCCGAACAAAATGGCAGGAATGGCGTTCATAATCGGTAAACCTGTCTCAAATATAATTATGTGTTGTGAGGCTATCCTCCTGGCTTGTAATAAGTATGGAACATGAATTCACTTACAAGATTGTAATGATTAGTGATGTCGCTACTTCACGCGCGAATGATTACAACGTCCAATACCGGGTCGGCTGCAGCGAAGGACCCGTTGAAACGCCAAATAAGAGAACGCGGCTGTAAACGGCAGAGGGCCCGCCGGATGTCCAACATGCAGGCTGAGCGGGGAGATCATCCGGTGGCGTTCCGCGATAATGAGTCGGTTTGTGATGCGTCAGGTCGTCACATGTCGCCTGGCCGTGTTTTGGTAGGCGAATGGTTGGGCTGTACACCTCACTGGAAATTTTATCCCAAGCCCGGGTATTCCGGATTAAATTTCTGATGATTGAAGTGAGGGCTGGTAGGATCGTGTGAAGAACAGCGAACGTCCGTTGTTGGAATGGCTTGTTGTCGGCCGTTAAATCATTTATTACCATCTTAAATGCCGTTAAGCCCAAGAACTGTGGTCTCTCTAGACGACGCGATTCGGCGTGTCGGTAGAATTTTCTTCCAAATAATGAAGTGATCCTTTTAGCGCCCTCTGGTCACCCGATTCCGGCTCCCCATCCCTTTCGCGAGGTGCGTGAAGGCTCTGCCACGTGCGCAGCGCGAAGCTTTTCAATTGGCCTTTGTTCAAAGTTCCCAGAACATTAATCACCCGAGCTCTGTGATTGGGTTAAGGGACCGCACAAACTTTGCAACTTTCACTTCTTAAATTATAATTGGTTGTTTAATTGTTCTCCTCTAGTGCCTAACGTGACTCGATCCGTGGGCGACCCCTTCTACGAAAGCTTCGTGGTTTTATTGCCCCTTAGGGATTAGCTAGCGGAGCTGCCCCCGAGTCTCCTAATACGACTGTTCCGGGAGTCAATCTTCTTTGCCAAACACAAAAGACCATGGGGTGTTTTTCGGAGGTGTGGCGAATGCCTGGGGAAGTCCTTTGGGTGGTGGCGCACAAAGACGAATTTGTTGGCCTAAAGCACCCTTCGCTTGGGAAGTTAATTTTAAAAGGGCGTGACGCAAGTAAGCACGCGTGCGATGCGTCCATTGCAAATATTGAGATGTCTCGACATCCCATGTGAGCTATTACCCTAGAATCACGCACCTGCATTGGTAAATGAGTGTAATGACACATGATGCTTTATTATTTTGTGATCCTGAGTATAATTTGGAAGATCTTAATAGGAATGTCAGTACAATTCAGAGCAAGAACCCTGAAGATGTGTGGTCTGCCTAGTCAAATGCAGATACTTGGTTTACAGAATTTTCATTCAATTTCAATCTGGGGTTGATCTGATTCGATTTATTTTCATGAAAGAACAATAACAGTTTTATGTGATGTTCCGGGAAGAAATATAATCTCCGCTCATTTTCTTGAGCACCGGAGTACCTTTCCCCACCCTTGTACAATACATAGTGAAATAATGAATAGAAGTACCAACAAAGTAAAGTCAGCAATACCTGAATACTACATGTCTCAATTATAGAAAATATATTTGCGTAATGAAACAAACTACAGATTTTATTTTATAGTATTGCTAACAAAATAGTAATCCCACCTCTGGCTCTACTCCTGCCACAACTAGCAAAAGGAGAGCTTAACAAAATGGGTGCACAGTGAAGCTACATTTACACCCAGAAGCATAACAAGGGGCATCTCACCAGTTGCTCAATGGATCAGGGAAACATCAATAAACCTGATTGAGCTGGAAGGTCACAATTAAAGGAGGGCAAGTCGCCAATTTACTTCTCTCAATTTTTCCTGCTATTTTTTACGGAAATTTTGAAAGAAGCTAACATGGTTGCTGTATGTGCAAACAGCTTGCGTAACAGTGCCATTTCACAATGTCATCCACGAGATGGCTTTTGAGCTGAGGTGCATAATACCTTCTACTAACTCTGAGTTGCAGGAATATTTCAAGATGTCCCCTCTGGGATGCCATACAAGTGCAGTGATATTAGAAAGAAATGAAAAAACAGTATTTTAACACTTTAATTTTTGGATCACACAAACAAGTAAAAAAATAAATAATTTGTGTTGAAAACAATCTGAAACTTTCCTACAAACAGAAAAAAAATTACAGGACTCAAACTTGAGTGCTATTTTAAATTTTGAATTGACATAAACCTTCATTCTAATTTTTTTTCACAACGAAACAGACACCAAAAATATTTGCAGATACATGCACACTATGAACAGTAAAGAAAACCCACACACATCCCTCCAATACACAGCTGAAAAAGATTTGCAAAATAGACAAAAGCTCGAGAGAGGCATTCTCAAAACGTGAAGAAATTATGAAACAGTTTACCACATTTACCGCTTGCAATTGGTTCAAATGAATGTATGAAAAAAACTAACAATTATTTCACAACACATTTTGATAATATAAGTTCCGAAGTTTCTACTTCAAAAAAACAGCTTATTTTTTCAAAATTTCAAAGTATTTATTTTGATTTGCAATTGCATATTTAATTAGATTTATCCACTTTAACTACATACATCACAATTAGTTCCTTTGTTCTGATTATTTCAATCTCTAACAAGTTTAAACTTATGTCACTGCTATGAACTTTATTTACATAACTTGCGATGTGACTTATTTGCTTACACCTCCTTGGCAACAATCTCATTGAAATAAAGGAAGTAGTGATCTGTCTGAGCACACCCTTGATTTGATATTTCATTTAAACCTTTATACTTTTGCTTATTTATTATAAAAGGATACAATAATGGCTAATGAGACTAACTACTGCAGGGGAAAGATTATTCATTCACATGAATACACTTGCACCCCACACTAACTCAGAGCCTCAGAAGGCTAAACTGCATTGCCTGTGAATAAAATATAATTTTCCTCTCGTATCATAAATTAAACTAAACAAACTTTTAGATCACAATGCATTTTCAAATTTTGAAATCCCAAATCTAATTATGTGATAAAAGTTACCATTTTCTTCAATGAAGCTTAAGTGTTTTTGTGTACACCCACCGGTAAGAGGAGCCCTTTCAAGTGCGTGCTCCACTTGCAGCAGCCTTTTGCTGCGCACGAACAAACTCAGGGTAGTCTATGAAGCCATCGTTGTTGCCATCGTCCATGCTCAAAATAGGGTCTATGAGCTGGACGAGTTCCTCGTCTTTGAAAATCTTCTCTCCAGTCGGACTGGCATTGTTCGGGTCACGATGACCCTGCTCTGAACCAGGGACCAACCCACACCACACATTATCACACAAGACACAACAAACACAAACAAATTCACAACTACACACTACACATTTTACATAAAGCTGGCCCCATGGTAGATAAATCAGTCTTTATAGACTTCTTTTTAACATATTTCACAGAAACAAAATCAATCAATTGACCTAAAGAGGACTAAATATCAGGAAGTGAAATATGCACAACATGCATCACCATTGCTCTGCATTCAGATTAAAAACTTGATTATCAACAAATATTGAAGTTATTTTTCAGAGTTTTTGAGAATTTCATTAAATCCTTGGTACAATTTCAATTTAACACGTAAATCCGGGGTATCTAAGGTAATCTTTCGCACCCATGATATGTGAAAGATTCATCTAAAAGCCATATTTTGTTTTATTAAATAATTATGAATCTAATTAATTCATCAATAATTCAAAATATTTATTAACGAGTTACATTGCATTTGTAGATGTAATTTTGCTTTAAGATATAATTCTTTTTTTTTTTTAATTTTAGTTTAAGATAGTACAGATTTGTAAATAAAAGTTGAGAAGTTAAATCTTAGAAAAACAACATACTTAACTGAGAAAGCTAGAGGGATCTAAAAGGAATATTCATCTCTGCTGTGTCCGAGTGCGCGGATGTTAATTAGAGTTATGATCTGTTAGATAGGGGGAAGAGGTTTAAAAAACCCAAATTTTTAAACGTATTATTGGAATGGCCTCCTAATAAACAAATAATTAACTGGACCAATAGTCATTAAGAAATGCTTGTTTTACAGAATGGAAACAAAAATAAACATCAAATTTTTGAAAAACAAAAATGAATGATTTTTTGAATGTAGTTTTCCCAAAAAGTTATTTGTATGTTCATTTAAGACACATTTTGGAACAAAAAAGTTAGCTAATTTTCTTTAGATAGTTACAACAAAATTAAAGTTAAACACTACCCTGACACTTGGGAACAATTCCAGAAGCTCTTAATCACAAACTTGTTTAATCATTCAATTGATTAACAAGCTTTCATACTAAATCACATGCCCTTATTCAAACTGTTCAGAAAATTAGGAGATCCGACAGGGAGATGCAGCCTAAATACACTGTTTTACAAACCTTTGATTTGTATTTACTTCGAAAATTTAAGGGGCGTATAGTTTGAAAAATGTTTGTATCATCACTAACTGTTAATAGAAATGCCATTAATTAGTTCACAAACAAAGCCAAACACTTACATCCAAAAGATTTTTTCCACATCTCTATTTGTTTGGTTGAAGACAGGCTTCAAACTTAACTTCAACGATAGCGAAGATAAAAATTAAAATGGAATGTAGTTTAAAGTACTTAAATTAAATTTTTATTACTTATTCTTCACAAAGAAATTACCTATAAAACATATGATTGGAATTGTATTAGCGCAAAATCAGAGAAACTAAATTAGGAGAACTGAACACTCTTGTGCAAAGTGAACAAAGACCTGTGCATGTTGATTCAATAATTAGTGCTCTCAATGCAACCACTTCCTTGATAATATTGAAGCAAACAAAATGTGTATGTTAAAAGCTCAAATCTGCAATAAGTGCAACGTGGATTTTAAAAAGTGTGCACAAAGCTAGATCTTGCCATGTAATATTCAATTTCAAATGAGAAATAAAACCCTTTTATGCTCAAATGAAAATGTATCAATATTAAGCAATGTAGTTACATAATTCAAAACTCACTTAATTAATCAGTAGATTACAAAATATTCAATATATTTCTTAAGAGCTTTGAAAATAAAATGAAAGTCAAAAATCTATAATTGCAACACATTTTTAGGTGCAATTCACTAATGTGGTGCATTTGTAATCGCCAAAAAGAAATGCATGTAATGTGCTATGTAATAAGGGCAAATGGGAAATTGAATTCTTGATTAACAATTTGAATGAACATCCTAAATATATAATCTACTTTCTCCAAACCTCAATTAAAATTAAGTTGATATTTTTTCTGAGGTTTGTTTGAATTTAGTATCATTATCCATGTTAAAGAATTAAGCCAAATCACGCACAAGACATTTCTCATAGAAAATTTAAATTGTCACATGCTAAAATCCACTCCAGTCAAAGCAAATTACAATAAAGTAATGCACACAGCACACGTCTGTATTAGAAAACAAACATAAATCTTACCATGCCAGTGAATCAATGACTTGATGAGTTCACATCCATCTAATTTATTATTATTATCAGCATCATGCATTTTAAAATAATGAAACTGAAGCTCTTGTTCTGACATCTTACTTGTGTCTATTGGAACTTCCATATGTTCTTGGATATGTCTGAAAATGAACATGAACACATAAACCAAAACTAGAAATCATAGAAATAGTATGAAATTACACAAAATGTAATTCACATTGGAGATAACATAAAAAGAATTTGCATTATCTCATAACATAATATGCTCATCAGTATCTTCCACTATATCAGTTTGTAATGAAAATAAGCTTTAAATTGCACCTTAGGGGTCAAAGGGCAGTGTGCAAACTGAGTCTGAAAGAGGTTGTGGTAGTTGCACTGTTTTCTATGAAGAAATTTTGTTACATTCAAGCTTTTCAGAAATGTTTCACATGCAGAGACTGAATTATAAACAGAAAAATATGGTGTTAAGAAAAAAATAATGTCTTTCAACAGAAAATTTGACATTTATCTTATTTGTTACTTTAAAATGGCCATATTATGAAGAAAATGTTCAAAATTATGAGGCTGCAAGATGAAAAAAAGTGAAATTGGATATTACATGATTAATACAATCACAAAATCTATTCACACATCAATTAGAGAATTATTTTTGGTCTTACTCTTTTTCGTGGGCAATATTTGCTGCATTTAGAATTTGTTGACCATGGAGTCCATGAATTTGTTGTCCAGGGATCTGTTGAACAGGAACCTGTGGCATTGGAACTTGCTGTACAGGTACTTGTTGAACTGGCACTTGTTGAACTGGAACCTGTACTTGCTGAACAGGAATTTGTTGTTGAAGTTGCTGAACTTGCTGCACATGCATTTGTTGTGCTTGTTGTACTGGGATTTGTTGTTGATGTTGAACTTGTTGCACAGGTACATGCTGTTGCTGCTGCATATGCTGTTGCTGTTGTATATGCTGTTGCTGTTGTATATGCTGCTGCTGCTGTACATGCTGAACTGGCACTTGTGGCTAAGAAAATTAACAATAAATGTTATAACGCTTTTGGTGATTTCTTTCATTTTGGAAAAAAAACTTTCACTTACTTGTCCATACTGTTGTGGAGGTACTCCAGGAGCCACTCTCTGTGCAATAGTAAGTGTAACAGCAGAGAGGAGGATAGTGTACAGATGCCACTTCATTCTGATATTCTGGAAACAAAAGTCAAACTCTTCAAAAAATTCACACACCGACAGGGTCACACTCAAACTCACTAACGCAATGTGTGTTAAAAGAGTTTTTAAAAAAAGGAACCCCATCAGTTCGGCAAATCGCATAGAAAAGGAAACTCGTATGAAACATTGAAATATCCTTCATCTGATTACATCCCTATTAAAATTTCATCGTAAGGAAACCGCTCTAAAATAGATAATGTAAATAATACTTTTACGTACACGTCAGTTAAAATACCATATGCAATTAACTTCACAAGGTTAACCTACCTTTTGATTACCATCTGTCACTTATGATATCAAAAAACAATGCCGAAGTATCAAGGTCAAGATGACGAATAAAGTACAGGTGAACATATAGTATACTCACTGAGAAAATATTTTTTTAATCAGGATATCTTCCACAGCATCAGCACTCAATTGCTCTGCCTCGCTCGCATGGTAAACTATTCCGGACCTGCCACACAGTAGAGTCCACGTGTACATCCGCGCCACAGCACAGATTAAATAGTGTGCTATTTTACCTCTCCTTACCTGACCTTGTTCACACAAACACACGACAACTTTCCAAAGAGTAGTTCGTATTTCAAAAGAATTATCTCACATTGCCAACGTTGTAACATTTGCCGAATACAGTGAATAAATAAAGACTCCCGCTACTTTTTTGAACTTAGAAAAACGCTATCTAAAAGCTATTTAAAATTATTATTTTCAAGTTCAGTTATGAAGTCATACTCCAAAGAAATTAAAATTCTCCTTATCTTTTGTTTCGTAGACTGTTTCGAACATGAGTGAAAAGTCACTCATATAGTATTCATCCATGGATATATTTTATTAAAAATGCTCACACTTGTAATATGATGTATTAAAATGTACTAAGGTAACTTAATGATCTCAGATAAATTAACATTTTTTATGAACATTTAATAATGTTAATTGAACAAAGACTGAAGTTTAGAATTACATTTACCATTTAGATGCTTCAGTTCATTTATACTTTTTGGTTTATTCTTAAAAATAAAAAATAAATAAATAAATAAAAACAAACAAAAAAAGCCACACATCCACACACACACACACAGCATTTATGTTTATTGGGAATACAAGATTTAAAACTGTCAAAACCAAGACAATGGATCATTTCAGCATTTGATGTATTGTTTGAGAAAACCTATTCAAGATGGAAGTCATTGTTCAACCTTAATTTTTTTAATAACTTTTGTTCCTTCATGTGCAAGAGTTATATAATTGTTAGAGCCCCAAGTTCAAAAATAAATTTGACCTTAAATCAGCAGGCAAAAAGATATTAATTTTAACTGAAATAGGAAGGCAAAAATGCAATTACTCTGGTTAAATTGGGGTGCCCAAGATATGTAAACAGTGAAAAATCTCCATGTAAACGGAATTAATGTAAACCATTAGTAATTAAAATTATTCAATTTTTTATTCTAATTGTAAAATTAATTTTAGGTCTGACTAAGAAGTAATGATCGCGTCTTTGTAAACTTGATTGCACATGACCATCAGATTTTTTTGTATACTCCATCTAGCAGAAATATTATTTTCCAGTTTCACTACTGTTTTAGTGACACACTAAATTTTGGTAAGATTACTATGCATTTGTCCCACTCATGACACTGTTTCTACAAAATGCTGTTTTGAACTCTCTTTTGAATCCTGAAAGGCATTAGTGAAGATCTGACAACTCTTACCTCAAAAGTGACTAGATGCCCCAAAAGTACCATGGGATTTCTTGTGAGTAAACAAAGCATGTCAGCATCAATGAAAGAAATTAAAAAATCTTGACAGGCATAACCTTTCTTTTTCATTTAGATTTTTAACATGCTCAAATCCTGAAACCTTTGCTTTCAGGGAAAGAAAATGTGACAATGTCTTTATGTTGATCAGATTTGCAGGTATGTTTCCAGTGTGATTGAGATTGATATCAGGAGATAAAAATGCTTCTGAGTTCTAATAATTGCATATAAACTGAAATGATTTTAAAAGTGAATTCAAAAAAAGTTATGGCTAATTTTTGCCTTTTTCATGACTATGGAACCTCACGTGTCCAATTTCATATTTAAATCAGCTGTTTATTGGGCAAAATTCTGTTTTCTTATCATGTCTAATAGTAAACTGATATAACAAATAGGCTTGTTGAACTTTGCACCTTTGAAGTAAACTATTCCTCCTATATTATATGCAAATTATTGTGTTTTACTGGTACTTCATTCTCTTACATTAAATTCAAATTATTATGCTTTTTAATTACCTACTTGTATTATTTCATTACTTAATGTTTTATATTTGTTTTATATAAGATATCTAATGAATGATGATTGCTAAACCATCGAAAGCTACTAATATAATAAACAAAATTGTTAGCAATGACAAATTGTTGACTTTGCATTTTATTCACAAATTTGGAATGCGAACATCACATCACTCATAAACCAATATTCTGAAGTACATCTTGAGGGGAAGTAAATTACACATGAAATATCACAACTGAATGAATGTCTTAAGTTCAGAATTTATTGCACTTTTATTGACAGTATTTGTGTTGGCTTTGTAGTTTGCATTGGGGGTGCCATGTCAGCTCATTCTTCTAAGACAATTCCACAATAAAAGTCAGAAATTAATAAAAAATTGCATGATATATGCACCACAAAATTTCTGAAACAGAATTTAAAAACCAAACATGATATTTTGAGAAATAATTGATAGATAATGTTCATCAAATACTCACATAAAATATTACAGATTCGAAAATTGATAATTTGATTTAAATTAGCTTACTTGTGTTATAATTTTTAGCTTTAATTCTTTGGTAAGTGCTTCACACTGTGTTATTTAATTGAATTAAGACTTCTTTTAACAATTTGAAGTTATTATTTTGGTACAGGGTAAAACTCCATTAATTAAATTAGATCATTTTATTTATAGAGATTTATTGACTAGTACTTTGTCAACCATTCATATTTTCTGTAACCATCTATTAAAAATGAGAAATATCTTTTACATGCACGGCAAACATGCTTTAATTTTAAATAAGATTATTAAAACACTATTTTGTCACACATATTTTTAATTTAAAGGGATGGGGAACCCCAATGTGGCCCTGGGTGATGCCGACTATTCTTTCAGATGCAAAAATCTTAAACATGAACCTTGTGTTTAGTGATAAAAAAAGCATGATAAATGCTTGTTTCACACAGATTAAATTATGGTAGAAATACAATTCTCAGACATTTGCTATACACGTGTCCTAGAAAGAAATGTCAATAATGCGGGTGGTCACTGTTGTGGTCATACTAAGCAGAACGTTTATATGAACAAGCTTCACTGAAGGGGTTTAGAAGTAGTACTTGACTGTACTATAGGTGTTTGGCTCTCCTAGTATCCTTTCTTCTCGTCGTACAGCGCTATTTCTGAAGCTTCGAGCTTCGAATACCATGAAGTGTCAATTGGCCGTCTTGATTGCTAAGTTCTACATCGTAGAAGTGTTGTACAAAATGCCGCCCATCTTCAAATATCCTTAATATTCTGTATAACGTTGTATGTACAGCTAAGGAAAAAAGAAAAGAGTTGTAGTTTTCTTTTACAATGGCCTCAGTTTCTGTAGTTGCGTGACGAAGAAGCTCAGGCAGGCGGAGTTGTCTAGCTGCGATGAAGGGAATACGCCATATTCGGCACCTGCCTATCTTGCCCTTCAAGCGTGGGAATTAAAGAGCCAGCATGGGGGATACCGTTAGATAGCCAGTTAAGTCGGACAATGACCTCAAAATGCCAAATACATATATACTCTGCGTGAACAGCTTTTGCGATGACGGTGTCACCTAACTGGTATGCATTGCCAAGGTGTAACATATTTGCGTGGTTGTACCTAGATTTGCTCAGTATCCAGGTCTATCTCTCTGAAGCGACCAGGGGGAGGGGAGAGTCTTAATATCATTGGGTATTCTGTTTCTTAAATGCTCAAAACTATGCACATTTTATGACACCTTTTTTAAGAAAATTTGTGGCCTCCTTTAAGGCAACATTGAAATGCTTTAGAAATTTTGTAGGATGGCAAAACTCAAAATTCACTCAATTCAATAAACGTGAAATGAAATAATTCTTTTGAAATTCATTATAAATTATTATTTTTGATGTTCATTATTGTTATGGTATAAGCAGATAGAGCCGTGGCTGACGGCGCACTGGCCGACCGAGCGTCGGGCCCAGCAATGAGAGTTTCTGCGAGGCGCCGCTAGGTGGCGGGGCGGCAGCCGCGACGAGGCGGTCCACTGAGCCGGAACGGCGCGAGTAAATGGAGACTCGCTCCACAGGCTCGGGAGGTATAAATCGGCCGGCCCGAGAGGCCGGGACAGTGACAGTCCCGAGATAGTGCAGAGTGTGAGCGAGTTAGAGGTGTTGTAAGGTGATTCTCCTGGTGATTGATTATTTGTACTTGTAAAGGGACATCTACTGGTAAACAGCGAACTGGCTTTGATTTATGTTTATGCTCTTGGATTTTGGAATAAAGCGACATTGTTATTACGAGCTGTTGTTTCCTTTGGCCTGAATATACAATTATGGTTGTTTGTTCTGCAAGAAAGCTCACCCGTTCCCCACAAACAATTCGAAACGGGCTTACAGTCGACCGAGCAGCTCCTACCATCGCAGCAATCCACGCATCGAAAGGATGTTCCAAACGATCTCGAACTGTTCTCGCCGCCTACGAGTCGAGCCGCAGTGTAAGAAACAGGCCGAATCAGGTCGCTCGATTGAAAGTTCCGTACCCGACGCCCACATGCGGCAACTGAAGGACACAGTGGCGGATCCAGGGTGGGGCGGGAGGCATGGGCGCCATACTACACTCCCTCCAACACGCCTAGTTTGGTTTGTTACCTTCCTTTATTTGGCAAAACAGATGTAAATATGTTAGAATTATGTTATTACTTAAAAATAATATTGTATAGTATCGAATCTAAAATGTACAACAATAATACACAATATTATAACGAATATGTTATTTAACAAATATCTGTGCCTTCCCAAATGATCGACTGGATCCGTCCCTGCTTATACTCTCATTATCTGTCACAAATCAGCTAATCAGTGCGGGGAACCCTCTTCGAAGCATCAGAGCCCTTCTCGACGGCTCTGCCAGATTTGAATAAATTTGATATTGACTATCAAGACGAAACAAAAAAGAGTCAAGAAACGCTAGACAATGCTACTTATCAGTACAACAGTCTGGATAAGCACACAAATTCAGACCCTAAAGTTTTTAAATTCATAAAAAAGGCATATACTTTATCTTCTAAATTCATGCGTAATATTTGGAAACTGTCATGCTCACGTATTGACATTCATGAATTTATAATATCAATTTGTGTAAATACTCATAAACACGAGACAATACTAGATATTGTGACGAACGCGAGTGACTATGTTCGTCCCACACGCCCAAAAAACGCCCGTGGTAGACCGGATGAGCGAGCCCGACGCGATTTGAAAAGGGCGCGCCCGCAGCCTACAATACTGTTACACACTTTGTCCGCGGCACGGCGCAGGAATATAACGTAGAGGCAGTCAGACTGGAGAGGGGGAGATGATGCACACTACCCCCACACGGAGGGCGCGTGCATAAATAGGCAAGCCGAAAATCAGTCATCCTCTTCGACCAAAGGGCAAAGTATAGGCGACCGAAGCACTTCCTGGAG